TATTTGTAAAAGACATTTGGAAGGCTCTATGAATTTCTCTTGACTTGACTCTTAACTTTCCTTGAATTGAATTATGCATTCAAGGATTGTAATTTTTGATAGGAAAGATCTCATGATGTTTATGAATGATTTTAGATAGCTAAACATGATAAATGATCAAAAACACTACCCGAAAATAATTTTGTGATGCGGAGATTCATTTAATTATGTGATCACAAAATATATTTTGAGGCAAAACGGTCCGGGACTGCTCTGCAATGCACTGAGAATATTCTTAAATCTGAGGAGCAAGTCCGTGATGCGGACCTAGTGCCCATATTCACCCAAATTTTTCCTTCTTCATTTTCCAACCACAATTCGACTAAACTCAACTATTTTTCTGAATTTTTTCGTTAGATTTAGATATCCAGTGAATGTACAGAAGAACCTAACTCAAAATCACTCTATAATCGACTCTATAATCTCAAGAATATCCTAAATCTCATCCAAATTCAAGAATGAAAGTAAATTCAAGAACACACATAAAGAACATTCAAACTTGCAACCTTTTAAGGACCAATTTATGCTGAATTAAACATATTTGGCGCGTGGATAACCAAACCCAACGCTTGTGAACTCACATACCTGGTAGGTATCACCCATTTACGAAATCCACAAGTGATTCTTAATGAACTTGGCGATTCTTGCTCCTTCTCCTCCTTACTCTTCTACTTTTCACTTCTCTAAAACCCTAAATCAATATTGTAGAAGCGTAAACTGAATCCTATCAGTCTAAACCCCAATTAATTACCAAAACACGAAAATAAGGTATGGGGAATGGGAAAGACCATAATGCCCTTCTAAAATCTAGATTAGGCTTTCCTTATTTAAAGAAACCCAACTTCAAATAGGCATATCTCACTCAAACTAACTCGGAATCATGAAAACTCAGAGGTGTCGGAAAGATTATTCCAAGAACATTCCAAGAATATCTTGAAATACACCTAAATATTACTTGTCTAGTATCTATGGTTGTTTGATGTTGACCAAAAACCCAATTGAACATACTTAAATTTTTTTCCAGATTTTTATATTCTTTCCAAAAGAAGACTATTTCCAATTTTTAACTTCTTTCTAGTTCTTTCTAGTTATGAAGTGTTATAAAATATTTGATTTTTGAACAATGTTTACCTATTTTATTTTAGAGTTTTAGTCTGGTTCGGGATCTGAGTCCTCCAAGGCCATCAATGCAATGTCATATGGTTCTTCTAGTTGTCTGAACCGGTTTTCCTAGTGGTATACATAACTTGACTGTTTTCCGTTTCCTTAGTCTTTCTATTATTGGCTTTATCTCAGATCTTTTCCTTTTCAACCCTTTATTTAATCCACTAAACTTCCCAGAGTTTTTCCACACTTGTAACATCCACGATTCCTAATATATTCAATACTCTTATCGTTGTTTAGGGATGCCTTTTTATATAGTTCATTCCCTTTTTGAAGAGTTTCTTAAATTTCCTGTTGATGAGTTCTATGCTTTAATTATCTAAGTAAGATTCATTGCTTTCAATAACTTGAGAGCAAGATTCTTGTCCTTGATTCCTTCACTTCTTTTGTAGTTCTCAACATTCATATCATATGTTTTGAAGTTTGTACCACTTCATCCAGAGTCATACTAGTAAGATATTTAGCTTCTTTTACCGAAGTGACTTTTATTTTACATGACCTAGGCAGAGTCCAAAATACTTTTTTTCCTCAGTTGTGTATATTTTTCCTAAGGTTATTAATTCATCTACCAATGTGGTGAACCTTGTTATCAGATCTTAAACTGATTCTCCATTCTTCATGAAAGGCTTCGTAATCATAGTAGAGTCTACCAATTCTCATTTTTTTTTATCTCAAGTAGTACCATCAAGAACATTTATAAATGTGTCCTATATTTGTTTTTCATGATACATTTAGCTTTAGCGTGCTTTTCTACCATTTTGTAATTAGATTCTCCATACTGAGTCTTGGTTTTAGAATATTTATACCTTCAATATACTTGATGATAGGAATTTAAGGGTCGTCATTGATTTTGACCCCTAGTTCATAGTCTTTGGCCTAAATTAAATCCTCCATTCTTGAATTCCACCAAGTGCATTATTATCCATTAAAGAATGGTGGCTTTTTGAGGAGCAAAATTCACAATCATCTTATGTTGAGTTATTAGACTCTTGTTTAAATAACTTGATCTAATACTAATCATTTGAATTATTACCTCTTAATTCTTCTAAGAACACGTACGACCTTTTTGTTCCTCACTTAATTTGTAGTTCAAAGTAAGCAAGTTTTTAAATCAATATCCAAACACTTCTCAGTTTCAAACATTTATTAACCCAAAACATCAAACTACAAAACATTTTACAAACCTATGTAATCTAAGAAATTATAAACTCTAATTTCTAAACTCAAAATATAAAATCATTAAGATTTATGTCCCCCAATGTTTACATGTTGCCCCAACTTGTTAGAAAAAACCATACTAAAATATTTCCAATACACAAAACTCTGAATAAGAAAATAACTCTTTAGTTTTAATATATTCAACACCTAAAATCTTCAATCAAAACTCTCTCACAACTTTTTTATGTCCTGCTTGTATATATCTATTCTTAGTGCGCAAATTTCTTTGGAGAAAACCCTGCCCTATTTAGAGGCCCGGAGTTCTTTCCTTCTTTGACTTTGACTCAATAACATTGTAGTACTTCCTCCTCCTTGTAGGACTCAAAATCCTGTGATAACTGGGTTTTCTTTATAAGCTTCCTCTTCCTTGCAAAACTTGGAATTATATGATTATTGCACAAATAAGCATATGGCGTATGGAAATTAGCTATGTCTAGACTAATCAGTTTTAGAGACTTGTTTCTTGCAAGTTATAATTTTCTTTTTCAGTCTTCAAAATCGTTCTCGACTCAACATGATCATTAATTTTTTCCTTAACTGTTACTTTGAAAATAAAAAGATCATCAAAAACACACTTAAAGTATAATAAGTTTTACAATTCTAAACTTCTTAATTGAACAATTAGTTGTTCTCTTTTGTAATTACTATTACAAATTATGTATGCCACTGGACATCTTTTAACACTCTTCGTAAATATCATGGCTTACCCTAGTAGATATTGATGAATTTGAGTCCCGTTTTAAGCCTTTAGATTCAGACTCTAATTATTACATATTAACTAAATAAAATGCATGTTTAATTATGGTATAATACTTATATTGGACCTTAAACTTGACTTTAAATTTAAATTAACCTCCAACTTTCATAGTGCACAACATGCATTTAAACTATACAACTTTTAAATGAATAAACACGCGAGTTCTACCTGGAAAAACGCGTGATGTGCACTTATTCTGCGCGTGTTAGGAGCAATTTGGAGTCCCACAATAGTTTTTACAAATTCTTAAATGACAACTCTACCCTAAATGAATCCCTTTACACATATTTTTAAATTTCCAAATCAAAATCTCATTTTTTCCCTCCCCTTTCAAACAAATATTTTTCTTAAGAATGATTTATCTTCATATTTAGTGAAAATGACTTCTAATTTTTTTTTGTCATTGTGGAAAAAGAGATATAATGAAGATTTCTTGGTCTACAAATAACCCAAAGTTGTAAGAAAATAACGATTTTACACTTATGATGAGAAAACAATTCTACCTTGTGTCAAAGATAAACTTTCAAAAGGGAAAATTAAAGTATACTTGGACTACATTGAGGAAGATTAATATATGAACATCATCTTCAGTAGAAATCTTGACTAATTATTCCTTGCGATTCACTAGTTTTTTGTTGTTTATCCTAGCTGCGGTTTTGTCCTTTTGAGTGACTATTGGGTGAAATGAAAATATCTTTAATTGGAACTAATTTAATTTATTTTTTTTCTAAAATTGACGAGTGATATATTTAATTAGTTGGGACCAACTGAGTGTCTCACTAACACACCTGGGAGCATTGGCATTTCACGCTCTTTTGCTGCAAAAAAAATGTGTTTATTTATTTAAAAATTTGACAGTTAAAGTGTATGTTTGTGCACTATGAAAGTTGAAGGTTAATGTTTAAATTGGAAGCCAAGTTTAGGGTCCAATATATTTATTATGGCTTTAATTAAATTAGGTAATTCAGTAAAATTATTAACAATTAGTCAGATTTTGGATTTCGCCTAATGAAATCAGTTGTAATGATAAAATTTTAACTTTATGGGTACATAATTTTAGAATAGTTATTTTAAATATTAATAATTGTGATCTAAACATAATAAGCTATATTATCAAAAGCTGCTAAATTTGGCTGACCCCGTATGGGCTTTTAGCTTTACTTCCATATTGACCGTCAGTTAGAGTCGGGTGCCAATTACGTCGTGTGGAAATCTTCTTTTAGATTTTTCATCACCATGTCATTTTTCTTGTTTGAAGTTCTTTTTTTCTTAAGTATGTTATATTGTACTTGAAATGGTACGAAACAAAATAAAACCTATAATATGCGGTGTTTAGCACGTATTACAACAAATTGACTTTGTTAAGGCTTCATTTTCCCTGATTTTTCTCTGCCTAATGTGATGACAAATACTTTCTTCCTATATGCACCCTATTAATTTCATTTTGAGATATAGTAGTTGGTAGCTGATAAATTTTGGGAATAATTGATCATGTTCCTCTATGAAGGATTACCTTGTGATTTTGTTTTTAAGACAGAAAAATTTAAGCAGCTAACAGCTGCTTTAGAAAGTTTCTTATTATTGAACTTAATTTGTAAAAGTTGTAATATTAATTTTCAATTTATTTGTCTTGTTTTGGTGACTCTACCATATATGTTATCCACAAGTTGTCGGATGTATGTCAATTTAAAATGTTATGAAGTTTCTTATGTATATTGTTGCTAAAATTTGATAAACGGGGTACCCGAATATACATTGACTGTCTTCTAGCATACTTATTTGAAATTTCTCATCAAGCATGTCTTTTAATCTTTATATGCAGGGTCAATTTCACATCATCTCACTATCAATGTTAGTAGAAAGTAGTAGAACACGTACTCTTCACGTGTCACTGTCTAGTGCAGATAATTGTGTTATTGACGGTTACGTTTTTGGAATGCTCATGGCTGCTACTCCAGTAGAGGTATTGCACTTCTAACTATGTCTTTCCTTGGGTTCAAGTTTTTTTTGTGTGTTTGTTATTAACTAGTAGTGCATGAATCCAAATTCCATGGACAATGGTCCCACCCCCTATATTGTTCATTTAAGTAGAAGGCGTTAGTTTATTATAGGATTTATACTTTGAACCTTTTTGTGAAAATAAAAAATAAAAAAAACCTTGTTGTGTGCATAACTTGATCATTACATGCTTCTCTCTTATCACTATATCAAAGCCTTGGGATATACTTACCCTCATGTATGATTGCATATTATGTACTTGCTAACGGTTTTCGATTCTTTACCAGGTGGTTGTTAGATTCATTCCGGAAACGGAAGAGCCTGAGTCTATGGGCTATGGGGATGCTCTCAATGATAGTCATCTAGTTGATCCTCCGACAACTATGATGGAAATGAGTCACATATACCAATGGTAGATTATCCAAGAAATGTCTTAATGTACCTCTAAGTAAAACAAATTTTATTTTGGATTTTCTGAAATTGTTATTATTCTTGTTCTAAACAAAATATGATGTTCTTTAAATTCATCATCCTTCTGATCAATAAATACTCAAATGCAACGAAAATTGTAGTTGTCTTGGAACAAATTCTTTCAAACTATTCCATGCAATGGAAAATCAATCAATTTATTAGACGTATTGTATAAGTGGTTATCTGAAACTGTCACGATAAATTTTTTTGCATGTGATATTAGTTAATTGTATCTAATATCACTATAGTCTTTAAAGACATTTACAAAATGTTAATTTCCACTAAAATTCCATATTTAGGGACTATATTAGGAAATAACAAAAATCATTGCCCAAAAATATTATTCTAAAGTAGCATTATTGGTTTTTCAAACTAAAACGAAAAAAGTCATGATGATTATTATATGGTGTATTGATCAAGAATACATACTTATTTGCTTAGGGAGATATATTTATTTTTTCAACTTTTTCCACATCCATAGACCTGACCTTTTTAGCCCTTTCATTCAAGGTAATTTGCACATATATTTGCATCAAACAAAACATATATATATATATATATATATATATATATATATATATATATATATATATATATATATATATTATGTCTTTCACTCAAAATTATCAAGAAAACACTATCAACTAACAAGTAATATATATTACACTTCATTGAACAATGGAAATATTGGTCAAGTACAAGAAGGTACGATGGTAATTTTCACCAACAATAGTTGTTGCATATCTCACAATATCTAAACCTTAATACGTAACTTTGGTGCAAACCCTACCATTTATGAGCTTGATGAACTTCCAAATGGGATGGTGTAACAACATAGGGGTACACCGTATATGTAACATGGTGTACAATACCCCGAGAGGTAACATACAAACCTCTTAGCTTTCATAAACAAGATAAAAGAAATGAGAAGAAATTTAAAATATTTTCAACCCAATCAAAGTTTCTATTTAAAAAGAGGAAGTCTATTACACTTTGTCTCAAAACAATGTAAAACATGAATATCTTGGGACACAACTCATACACCAATATTCGAATACTAAACTAAAAGAATATAAGGTGGTTCCAAGGATGGATCTTTGGCTTCTGTCTTCGAGCAGGAGCATGAACAATTGTTACATCAAACGGGAGGGAGCTATGCTCCAAATCGATGAACGATCCGTCTTGGATCCCACTGTCTCCTCCTCCTCCACCAATATCCCAAGCATAGAAAATGGTCTCGATACCACCATTTAAGGGTACTCCTATAGGGTTCATATGTCCAATGGGTTGCAGACAATATTAGAATAGAGAAGTGTGTCTTTCAATTGTGTGATCGACATATATCCATAAGTCTGGAACACTCTCAAGTTCCACATGTTTGAGGTTTTCACAAAACTCTGAGACCCATACACTCCTACTTCGGTCCGGGTGTTTTATTCGGCTTACGGAGAACTGGTGCCAAAAGGGAAAAAGCAAGAAAGTGCCTTCCAACTAGTTGTCTTTGTGGATTTTAGGGGAAAAAGGTCAAGTGTAGATTCTCTAATATAAATACAGTAATATGGTTCTTCACAGACTTCATGCACGACTACCAAAACTAGATAAAGAAGAATACCTTGGACGATCTTAAGGGTTGTATACACCCCTTCTTTCTAATGTAACCCCAAGTTTAATTGAGGTAGGGACACTCAAAGAGAAGAAGGACCAAAACGTTGGTGCCCAGTATTGGTTCGGGTTCATTAGTAGCACCATTATTCCATCCTAGAATGAGTCAATCCAACAAAAATTGAAGGTTGCGTGTCTAGGTTCCATTATTGATCGCCAAAAGTTGAACTTGGGGTTGCTAATAGAGAAAGATATGACCATGAAGGCCAAATCAATCTAGGCCTGAATCCCATTTTAGGTTTTGATCACCTAGTTGTGCAGATGGGCTAGTATTCCGATAGATGACAAGACGAATGTCGAGGTGACACCCATTTCTTCTACTAATATCCGAAGTATTGAGTACAAGAACATGCAGGATGAGGCTAACGGGATGAGGACAACACCGATGATACGTCCCCGATGTTTGTCGCGGCTATGTTAATGATTGAGGCATTCATGCCTCCTCATGCTAGTGGGCCCTAAGGAACATCTGGCCCTTCTAATTCTAAGTGTCGTAATATTTCTGTTGCGCCCCTATCACTAAATCGATTGTTGCTGCTACTACTCCTGACCCCCCTATCAACTAGGACATGCTCTACTAGATTGACCATACTGATGTGTGTGCCTCCCAACAGAGATTGACATGCCTTGTTGATAGAGAGGGCGATTGTCGTTGCCTTAGCCCCTATATGGGCTGAGATGAGGGAGCACAGACAGTTTATTAAGGGCCAAAAGTTGGCGTTGGATGCCCTTGCTTTGAGGGTTGAATTTGTTGAGGAGAACCAGAGTGCTATAGAGATTGCCACATCCTTAAAGGCCGATATTGTGGGGTTGCCTAGAGATGTGGATGAGGTGAAGTCCACAGAACTTTTACTTCTTTTTTGTATGGTGGAGATTCCCGAGGTCCCAACAAAGATATTCTAGCTTAATATGAGGTGCCTCCGACTACTACCGGAGATGATACTAGAGTTGATGATGTTGATGTTGGTTCTAGACTGAGACAAATGAGGAGTATCTTGGTGATATTTGGATGACTTTGAGAGTTCCATGTTTGAGACCACTAAGTAGGTGATTAATAACATTTCAACGACACTTCATCCAGTTCTAAGCATCACCGATCGCCAATCATTATGAAACCTAACAAAATGAGTTGAAGTTGAATTCCAACATGGAGCGGTATGTGTTTCAGATTCATTTGGGAAGTATGAACATGGTCAAATCAGTCATAGAAAAAAAATTATCGAATAAAGACATCATTCAAATTAAGGGGTGACACAAATATCAAATGGGGCATTTTGGTTTTGACTAACAACTATAAATAATCAGAAATAATACAAATTAACATTTATGAGACGAGTTCCTGGGATATGATTGATTATAGGAAAATATTGACATATGGGAATTGCAACTATTAGTAAATACCTAAATAACAGTGACTACACTGGTCTACAATGTAGGTAAATTTTCTCTCTAACAATTTACCCCAAATAAAGTGATTTCTCTTGAACATCAACAAGCATGTAAAATAAGAGACGCCCACACCTTAATACATTCACTCTTTCGAGTTGAATGGGTGGGATTGGATTTAGGATTCTCTCTCTCGAGCTGAGCCCAGATCAGTCCAATTTCCACAAACTATCAATTAAAACCTTTAGGTCTAAAACCTTTCTCTCGAGCACTCTAAGAAAACAAACATAAAACTATATTGGCAACTACAATTATTTGGTTGCACAAAAATTTATTGTTGAACTCACTCTTAAATAGCATTTAAACTAACAATTAACAACACCCATAAGCTAAATAATCCCATAATCACAAACCAAGAATTGGGGTCTTAGCTATACATTATAAAAAGGTAGAACAAGTCATAAAATTAATTACCATCAACTGTGTAAGAGTAATTTAGTCCTTACAATGCTGTTATTTGAAGATTCTCAAATACCTACTTCCAAAATTTCCGAATTGAACTTCTTTAATCCTTCAAATCTAAGTAAAACTAAAGAAAAATTGTCTCTAGATGCTCAAAATTTAATAACCGATTGTTCTAAAGATTATTTGATACTAAAATAAATGTTCAAAAAAGATTTAATAGTCGACAAAAATAAGCTACTAAAGCTCATTCTGCGAAGTAAGTCGGGCTCGCCGAACCACATAGTGAGCCGCCCCTTGGTCTCTTCCATCGCCCTTTAGCCTTGGTATTCAACATCCTCAGGGTTTGTAACTTTTGGAAATTTATCATGGCATTGAGGAATCACTCAACAATCCATCGACTGCTTATTTTTAGCGCCAACTTGGTTATTTTCACCAGGGATTGACACACTTGAACTTTAGGAGGTCTAATAAGTTGAGTGCTCTTGGCAATCCTTACGTTCACATCTCTTCATATCTTCAACATGTTTTGTTCCTTTTGCCTGTTAGTTTCTTTCTTTGTTCCTCAACCCATATTCCTAACAGTCAAGGATGTAACATTAGTAAATAAGTATTTAAGAACACTAAATCAGTATAAACAAAGCCCTAAGTGAGTCCAAATCTCAGATTCATCAACCCTACAACTGAAATTTTTGCTTGTTCTCAAGTAAAATTCAAGTTTAGGAGCTCAAAAGAATGTTTCAAAAATGCTACAAAAGATTCAATCATGACTGCACACAACAAGACTGAACTTACTCATGCAATGATCTCTCAAAGATTCACGTTATGACTCACCATTATCAAAGATTCTCAAGTTCACAATGCTTGCAAATGCCACTTTAAGATCAACAAAGGTACTCAAATTCCCTCATAACAAAAATGATTCCATATTCACACACAACTTCTCAAAAATTTAGAGTTCCAGAATCACGTAGAACTCTCTGACACACAAATATGAACACATGCATGACTTCACCCACATGTTTGCCCTTATTTTCCAATCAACATTCATTTTAGCTCACTCAAGATCAAAAAGGTATTTTCAAGTCTTTTAACGGGGCTGAGTGTAATGGCATGATCATTTATGGTCAGTGCCTGCTACCTTCAGGAAATGTGGTCTAAGCATCACTTTTCTTTCTTTTCTTTAGCATTTTTACTCATGCTCAAAATTTATCCCATTATTCAACTTCAAATGAGTTTCCTGACACCCATTTTTTTAGACTTTCAAAACTTGATTTCTCATATTTTTCATTCATTTTATTTTTCTTTCTTCTTTTCATTCTCTTTTTCCATAGAGGGGTTTCATATTTTTCATGATCATGGTCAAAGAAACTTCTTCACACTTCTTGATTTACCTTGTTTTTCCTCGACACCCCAACTTAGGTTCCTAAGTTGT